AAAAAAAAAAAAAAAAAAAAAAGAGTTAATTGAAGTTACAAATTCAATGAAAAAGTTAAAGAACAAACTAAATAGCTGGAGGGTGAGTTTGTGAACTGGAAGACAGATGTGAAGAAATCACCCAGAACACAGCCAGAGAGATTAAGAGAGGGAAAACATAAGATGTTAAAAGGTATGGCGAGCACAATGACGTGCATTACTCAGCCAAACCCTCAGAAACGGTCAAAATGGTGGCAGTGCATGCCTATAGTCTAGCTACTTGGGAGGCTGAAGTGGGAGGATCACTTGAGCCCAGAAGGTTGAGGCTGCAGTGAGCAATAATCACGTACTCCAGCCTGGGGGACAGAGTGAGATCCCGTCTCTTTAACAACAACAACAAAAAAAAAAGTAAAAATGGTAAATTGTATGTTATGTGTATTTTACAACAATTTTTTTAATGAAAAAAATGTGGAGGATATAATTAGTCAAATATACATTTAATCAGATATTTAGGAGATAATAAAGAGAATGGTAATATATGAAGAGATACAAATTGAGAATTTTCCAGAGTAGTTGAAAGACACAAAACTTCACATCCAGGAAACTCAACAAATCCCAAGTAAAAATAGAAATCTATCCCTAGAAACACTGTAGGGAAATGATACAATCCCAAAGGCCAGAGAAAAGAGATAGATCACCTACAAAGAAACAGCAATTAGACTGACAGCCAGCTTCAAAACAGCAGCAACGCAAGCTAGGAGACGACGCAAGCTAACTAAGCTTTGTGTCTTGAATGTACTGAGAGAAAATAACTGTAAACCTAGTATTCTAAATCCTATCTGAGAAAGCAACAGACACTGCAATCAAGCAAGAACTGAAAGAACAGATCTTCAAGGAAAGGGGATTTTAAAGAAATGTACTTAAATAAGAGGAGATGACTATCCCAGATGGAAGGTCCTTAACATATGATGGAATGATGAACAAAAATACTGGTAGCGCCGGGCGCGGTGGCTCAAGCCTGTAATCCCAGCACTTTGGGAGGCCGAGGCGGGTGGATCAC